AAAGTGGTCAAATATCTAACTTAGCTGGTATACTTATAATATATCTATATATAATTTATAACTGTTGTATTAAAATGGTCATTATCTAACTTAGCTGGTATAGCTATAATGTATCTATATATAATTTATAACTGTTGTATTAAAGTGGTCATTATCTAACTTAGCTGGTATACTTATAATATATCTATATATAATTTATAACTGTTGTATTAAAGTGGTCATTATCTAACTTAGCTGGTACACTTATATCTATATATAATTTATAACTGTTATATTAAAATGGTCATTATCTAACTTAGCTGGTATACTTATAATATATCTATATATAATTTATAACTGTTGTATTAAAAAATATATAGATATATTATAAGTATACCAGCTAAGTTAGATAATGACCAAATTTATAACTGTTGTATTAAAGTGGTCATTATCTAACTTAGCTGATATAGTTATAATATATCTATATATAATTTATAACTGTTTTATTAAAGTGGTCAATTATCTAACTTACCTGGTATAGTTATAATATGTAATATATAATTTATAACTGTTGTACTAAAGTGGCCATTATTTAACTTAGCTGGTACAGTTTATCAAAGAGTTATAATCATGCGAAAACATTACTGCACATGCGTGATATGATTTTGTAAGTGTTCTTATATCATAAATTATTATCATAAGTACCTAGTATATTTACCAAATATTTATATAATGAAAAGCATTATCATATAGATCTCAAATTATTTATTACTCTTTTATTAAAGAAAAGACAACTATTTGAAATGATTTACCAATGTCTTTTATATTAGAAAACGTTAGTATGTCACATTATAATAATTTACTAGTGTGTTTTATATTAGAAAACGTTACAATGTCACATTATAATGATTTACTAAAGTATTTTATATTAGAAAACGTTACTTTGTCACATTATAATGATTTACTAGTGTGTTTTATATAAGAAAACGTTACAGTGTCAAATTACAATGATTAACTAGTGTGTTTTATATTAGAAAACGTTACTATGTCACATTATAATGATTTACTAAGGTATTTTATATTAGAAAACGTTACATTGTCACATTATAATGATTTACTAGTGAGTTTTATATTAGAAAACGTTACATTGTCATATTATAATGATTTACTAAAGTGTTTTATATTATAAAACGTTAATATGTCACATTATAATGATTTACTAGTGGGCTTTATATTAGAAAACGTTACAGTGTCAAATTATAATGATTAACTAGTGTGTTTTATATTAGAAAACATTACTATGTCAAATTATAATGATTTACTAGTGGTTTTATATAAGAAAACGTTACTATGTCACATTATAATTATTTACTAGTGTGTTTTATATTAGAAAACGTTACTGTGTCACATTATAATGATTTACTAAAGTGTTTTATATTATAAAACGTTAATATGTCACATTATAATGATTTACTAAAGTGATTTTTATGGAAAACATTACTATATCTTATTCATGAGTTTATTAAAATGATTTTACAATAGAAAACGTTGTTGTCACTAGTTATCACTATCTACCCTGGGGTAGTCACAACTCTAATAGCTTAGTGTGTCGCTTGGCTTTTAGTGATAACACCAAAAACAAAAACATTATTTACCAAAACAGTATTTAGAATAGAAAACATTGTTATCACTAGTTATCACTATCCCCCCTGGGGTAGTCACAACTCTAATAGCTCAGTGTTTCGCTTGGCTTTTAGTGATAACACCAAAAACAAAAACATTATTTACCAAAACAATGTTTAGAATAGAAAACATTTTTGTAACTAGTTTGTTACGATTTACTGAATTATTTCTATGATAGAAAGCATTATAGCATTTAGTTAATGTTATTTTTTAACATGTTTTTTTTATAATAAAAATCATCATATTAAAATCATATAACTTACTAGGACTTTATTTCAATATCATCCTGGGAAGTTTTTGCTATCCTTAATAAACATAAAAGTTGTCTGAGAAGTTCGTTGCCCGACCTAAACAAAAACCGGAATGTATGATTTTTTTCTGATAAATATTCAGTTTGAACCTTCTTGTGAGTAAACAACACGAAACATATAATTTAATGAGCTTATTTTATGCTTTGTGGGTTTTAGAAGGAAAGAAGTGGGCAGCGTTAAACGTGATGGAGATGATCGAACTTTGTGTCGTGATCAGGACATGGAAGAAACATAAGGAGAGGGTGTGAACAGTGAGAAAATGGTGTGATGATTTTAAGAGTTGTATACAATCATGCGATATAAAGTTCATGATTTTGTTATATGCGATAGAAGAAGTTATGAAGTTAGCATTTTGAGTGACTTTTTGGGCATGGATAAGGCTAGTGCCAGGTGAGTTCTAAAAATGTTGTTATCTAAGCAGAAACAGATCCTACTTTTTGAAAACCAACGCCTATTCTATAGGTATCAATAGATTTGTAACTATGGATGAAACGTGAGTTTAACATTTCGACTTACAGTTAAAAATGCAAAGTCTGCAATCGAGACCTCAAGTTCGCCCACCCCGAAGAAGTTCAAGTCACAATCTTCTGCTGGGAACGTAATGGCATCCATTTTTTGGGATGCCAAGGGCGTTTTACAAAGTTGATTAATTTGGAAATGGTTAAAACCGTTACGGAAGATTACTATACATCCTTAATTGGAGTCAAGAAATCAAAGAATAGAGAAAAGGACTGCTAAAAAAGGGGCGTGCTCTTCCATCAGGATAATGCTCCAGTTCACGAAATGCATGTTGCTTCGAACACTGTCCATGATCCTGGCTTAGAATTATCCAGACACCATATTTACTCACTGGCTTTAGCTCCAAGAGACATTTTTCTCTTCTCTTAACTTAAAATCTTTATGAAAAGTCGAAACTTTCAGAGTGATTATCATCTGGTACATACCATCCAGTTATGGATTGAGTATCAAGAAGAAGAGTTCCTTCAGAAGGACATAAATGACTTAGTGCACCACTGGTGCAAGTATATAGACTCTAGACTTAAAGCACCACTGGTGCAAGTATATACACTCTGGACTTACAGCACCACTGGTGCAAGTATATAGACTCAGGACTTAAAGTGCCACTGGTGCAAATATATATAGACTCAGGACTTAGATCACCACTGGTGCAAGTATATACACTCTGGACTTAGAGCACCACTGGTGCAAGTATATAGACTCAGGACTTAAAGTGCCACTGGTGCAAATATATATAGACTCAGGACTTAGAGCACCACTGGTGCAAGTATATAGACTCTAGACTTAGAGCACCACTGGTGCAAGTATATACACTCTGGACTTAGAGCACCACTGTTGCAAGTATATAGACTCAGGACTTAAAGTGCCACTGGTGCAAATATATATAGACTCAGGACTTAGAACACCACTGGTGCAAGTATGTAGACTCTGGACTTAGAGCACCACTGGTTCAAGTGTATAGCCTCAGGAGGAGATTATGTTGAAAATAAATCAAAATTTGTTTTTTCTTATAGATCGGGCTACGAACTTTTCGGACAACCTTCGTACTTCACGGAATTTTATTTTACCTATTCATTCCTAATGAATATGATTAAAAAGTTATAATTATTTTTATGCAAGATAACGTATGATTATAAAACATTTCTTACAATCATATCATCATGTATTCATTAAATACTGTTTCTTAAGAAGTAATATTAAGAGATACAAAATATATCTTTTGTTAGGATTATCATAATGTTATCTTAGGATCATTGATTCAAATTAATATCGTGTATTAGAATTTAACAACTTCTTCACCAGGTAAGACTGGTTCATGTGAGGTAAAAATATTATCATATTTGATTGTTTTGCAGTTAACAGATGTTTAAATTATTTTATCAAGATATTCTGAAATATCACTCGTACATTTTTGAAGTTATTTCTATGATGCTTTATATCTACTCTTAAAAAATGCTGAATTATCACTTGTAAGGTTTTGAAATTACTACTTTTGTACCCTAGATTTACTCTTCAGAATGTTCCACATTATCATGTAAAGTTTTGACATTACTCATCTTACTTTTCAAATTACTTTTGTAAAAGTTATCAGATTAGAAACTTATGATCAGGTAGATTATAATTATAAACATTTTCTATCTTTACTATATTACTATTATATAAGGAAAATTACATTGTTCATAATTAAACCAATGCTGCTATGCCCTTGGTGATATGTAAATTCATAACTGTACACTGTAATTACGCGATTTCATTTCACCAACCTTATATGGTTCGAGGTTCTCCACTACACAAGCTAACGTCAAGGAGCGGCCTTCTGCTATGGTCACATTAGGAATAGGTTCCGCGAAACGAGGTGCTCCTCTCCTTCCTGCGTCAGCTATGAAACAAATTCACAGAGTTATGTAAAAACTGATCTTGAAATAATTACCTTATTCACCTAGAACGTATCACCCCATGTGACGAAAACACTACTGTTAAGAAATAATTCAACGTTATGTTGAGCTTTGTTGTTTCCTACTACTACGCTTTAATTGTTAGGAACATGGATAATACTTTGATACGCTACGCTATATTTGTAAGGGACAAAGATAATACTTTGATATACTACGCTTTAATTGTAAGGGACACAGATAATACTTTGATACACTACGCTATAGTTTTAAGGGACACAGATAATACTTTGATATACTACACTTTATTTTTAAGGGAAGAGGTAATACTTTGATATAATACACTTTATTTTTAAGGAAAAAGATAATTCTTTGATATATTACGTTTATTTTTAAGAAACAAAGATAATACTTTGATATACTACGCTTTATTTTTAAGGAACAAAGATAATACTTTGATATACTACGCTTTATTTGTAAGAGAGATCGCACGTTGCTTCCCGCCTCGACATTATTTGTAAATAAATTGTATAATATATATCTATGTACATATAAGTAGTGTTCCTTTGTAGTTTCCAAAACAGTCAACTTTGTGAAGTGTACACACAAACTATACATCTACCTAAGTGTGTTAAGATGTCCGGAAGAGTTTTGAAGTCATTATATTCACGGAGACCAAAAATATCCAAGAGAATGGAAGAAAGGAAATCGCGAGAAATAGCAAAAGAAACTGCTACAAGATGAGCTCAAGATATAAAAGGGCTAACTAGAAGAAGAGTACAAGAGACAGCTGATGGAACTGCTACAAGACAAGCTCGAGATAGAGAAAAGATAGCTAGAGGAACAGTACAAACGACAGCTGATGAAACTGCTGTCACTCAAGAAGGAAATCGTAACAGAATGACAAGAAGAAGAGCGAAAGAATCAGTTACAGGAATTGCTGTTAGAGAAGAACATCAACCTCAAAAAAGGGTTGCCGCTGCTGAATGGATATTTGTAATGTATTTCAAAACAGTTTGTTATTATGATCAAAAATCAAGATCATGAATCAGAGTCTGTATATGATGTTGGAAGAGGATCTACAGAATATGGTATTTGCAGGACAAAAGATATCCCAGTGAAAAGCCAGGATTGTGATGTAATAATGGTAAAGTTGAATAGCAACCTTTGGGAGAACCACCATCACCTCTAAATGTATTCCTTCGGGGAAATACTGAAGAATCTAAAATATCCTAATCAATATCTATATACATAAAGCACAAAAATCTGTGTATCTGTCTGTTTGTCTGTTATCTAATTACTATTAGGTCGCTGAGCCAATCTCAACCAAACTTTCTGTGATGATAGTTTGGAAAAAGGGGCATGCCAGTGGGTGTTCATAGCCCCTCTACCCCCATTATTGATATTATTGAGCATTTATTATCTTTGACGTTAGTAAAAAGTTAACTATATTCATAGATGGCGCCACATCTTTACACCAAAAACAGAATTTTCTGTAACACAACATATACATAGAGTAGGGGAGGGCACAAAAATTTTACACATCTCAGATAGTTCCATAGCACTCTCTATGAAGGAATGCAATGAAAAAAAAATGGCCGTCAATAATACATAAACTGAACTAAAGTTTCTACACCAACAGCCACAATATGGCTTATATGAAGAGCCATTTCATGAGTTATATCTACTTTCTACTTTGACCTGTGACCTTACAACTTCAGCCCGTAAGACACTTCTGTGGCCAATGACCGTCAACTAGTTAATCACGTGAAACACTGTGGAATGACATTAAAAGCTGGGTGTTTAAAGCACCCCTACCGCCACCTACTTTGTCCGCTACCTCTTCCTTTAAAGTCACCATGACCATTCCACAGTGTATACCATGTTTTATGTATATACATAGTAAGTTCTTAAAGTTTATACAAAATGTTTGGTGAGATAATAATGAATACTGTAATAATATGTTATGTTATAAATAACTTGTGTGAAAGATAGGATTTTTGTGTTATTTATCATAGCATTCACTCCACGTTTTTTTTTTCCAGTTCATAACCCTGACAAAGGACAGTAGTACCTCAGCTTGTAATTCTATATATACATACTGTTGTATCTTTGCTTGTGATGTGTGTTCTACTGTTCTATATAAGGCTTCTTAACACTACGTGCTGTCTCTCTTAATTCTAGTGTTTAGACCTGTAATATATCTGAACATATCATAATTCACTTTGTCAGCCAATTACGGATGTCAGATCAAAGATGTGTAAAAAAAAAAACATCGCAGGTCTACCTTTTGTTTTTCACAAGTCACGGCCTTCTTTAATTGATACCAGTACTCCAGATCACAACAACAACAGTTTAATAAATCAACTTAGTATACCAAAAATTGTTTAATTTCACGTTTCATTTATACGATTATCATCATAGTAGTTATACGTCCATATTTAACTAACTTATTACTGCTTTGAAAAATTCTAAAATAATATTTGGTCTACCTTTGCGACTGGATTACTTGGATTACTTTAATATTATGTTGTTGTTTTTTTCTGCTTTTGCGTTTGGGATTACGTAAATCATCCAAATGTCATGTTTAGTCTTCTTTGACGTTTGGGTTAGTTGGATAATCTGAACGTGAAGTTTGGATTACCTTTAGGTTTGTGTTAGTTCAGTCTTTAAGCATAACGTATGGTAAACATTTACTCTTTGGTTACAACTTCATGACTGTCGTTTGTTTAGGGTTAGTACGATCACATTGAAATCTGTACTTTTACGAAGTCTTAGGAAGCATGGGTTTGATGACTGGTTATCTATTTGTGACGCTGGATACTGCATTTTGTTTAATTAATTGTTCATAGTTATTTATTTCTTTTGACTGATACTAAGTTGCCGTTTTTAACTAATTATATATTTGAATGATCGATTAACGGTATATGATTATGAGCCTCTTATATCAGATTATGAGTATTTTGTTTGGAATAAAACAGTTGTAAAGAAACTGCTATGATTTATTTTCAAAATAAGTATGCTACTTACGTAAAAACAAACAAACTGTAATGCAAATTTATATACAGGTACATATATTCTTTTGATGATCAGCAAACAAATAGCTATAACGTGGATAATATGTTTACGGACAAAAAGGTTTTCTGTGCTGCTATACTAGGCCTAAGTCTGAATAGAAGGAGAGAGAAAGAAAAAATGCTCGAGTCTTAATTTAATATTGAAATTTTGCTAATTTTTATTGTTTGTTTGTAATTAAGCACAAAGCTACACAGTGAGCTTTTTGTGTTCTGCCCATCACGGGTACCGAAACCCGAATTCTAGCGTTGTAAGTCCGCAGAC